CGTGGTGTGACTCGTCCAAGCGCTTAGCCCACAAGAGGCAGCTTGCTGGATACCACAAACATCCTGTCTTTGCAATGTGTAGAGSTCTTGGTGTAACTTGACTGCGTTGATCTTTGGCCACAAGGTACCGTCAGCTCTGGAGGTGAATATTGATGATATGACYAGAAATATGGCATTGTAGTTGCACAAAATAGAGTAACTTTATGTGATTTTTCTTTCTTTCAGCGTGTGCTGCTGCGAGGGCTGTGTTGACTCTGATGGTGGTGCYGAGGTGCACGCAGGAGGTGAGGTGTCCCCACGTGCACCCGGACACRGGCAGTGGCGAGGAGGGTGGTGACCAGCGGGAGGGCCGTGGTGCCTGGTGCCACTCGCCGCAGTGCTGCCCTGCCAGTGCTGGGCTCGCTTTTCAAAATGGTTCAGCCTTCCTGGAAAAATAAGTGCTGAGGTGCCTCTATTCCCCCAAGGAGGGACTTGCCGCTCCTGTCGGCTCCGTGCTGCGGCGATGGAGAGGGCGATTCCTCGCGGCCGGGTACGACCTGCGCTCTGCCTTCGGTGTTTGCATTCAGTGAAACGCCTCTCGCGGCATTTGCACCCCCGTGTGTTGTTGTGTCTGCAGGATAACAAACATTTGGTGGTGGAGTCGGGATGTTGCGTCCAAGGTTGCAGGTCACGGGCCAAGGGGGCTGCGGGACTCATTGCAGCTGAGCGCAGCCTGCAGCGTGGGCTGCAGCGGAGCCTAAGGATTTGCTCTTTGCCCTTTCTGCTATCTGTATAGCTGATTGTTGTTAATATATTAAATGCAGTTCACTGTGCACTGAAGATAACCCACGACAGTCAGTTTGGCAGGCGAGGTTAGTGCAGAGATGAGGGCTGCAGTTCGCAGCGGGTCGGAGCTGTGCAGGTTACCTCCCCTCGCCCTCGGGCGCTCGCGCCCTGTCGCTGCTCGCGTGCCCTCGTGCTGCRGGCTGCTGCACTGCTGCTTAGCAGRACCGCTGTTATTCAGTGTGCAAGCCCTGCCCGGAACCGCCTTCCCTCTGATGGTCCGTTCTGCAGAAAGCAGGGATGTGAAGCCTCAGACTCGGAGCCTGCTCTATTCCCTGCGCCGTTCTAGCTTTCAAATGCTTTTAATTACAAGGGATTTGTTTTAATTTTATTATTTTCAAAAGCTTCTGTTGAAATGTCCCTGTATTACAGAAAGGTAAAATGTACCTTGCTTAGTTGGGGGAAAAATGAAAAAAAAAAAATCCATGTGCAAATCACATGTAAAGGACTGCCTAACATGATTTAACCCTAGCTGGGGCAATGGTGCAAGACAGAGCCCTTCCTCAGTACCCACCTGCCCTCCCAGCCGTGCGGGCAGCAGCCCCAGCGGCAGCAGAAGCCAGAACTGGGGAAAATGCCCCTCTCCGAGGCGGAAGACGCACGGCCCGCCTGGCCCCGCGCCAGGGGCTGCGCGAGCTCCCTGCTGCAAGCGCCTCGAAGCGCCCAACTCATGCAAAGCAAACGTTTATTTYAAAAAAGATTTTCTCCCGCGTGTTATGATAACTTAGAAATATGAAAGCACCTTAAATAATCATTTATTAATAGCCGCGTGCTGAGTTTCCCCTTTCAAGGGGGGTCGCACAAGCCCCGCAGCTCCGTGCGCCCCGAGGGACAGGCGGGCGGCTCACGGTGCTCCGGTCCCCGCGGGCGCCGGGCTCACGGTGACCTGTCACCAGCACCCCGGGTGCTCATCGCCGTGCCACAGGTCCCGCTTGCGGAAGGTTGTCCCACCGGCACCGCCACCCTCCGCCTCGCGCCGCGCGCCGGACACCCGCCTGCTCCCCACGGAAACAGCCCCAAATGGCTTCTGCAGAATTCCTCGGGCTTGCAGGGTTCGTTTTCATAGCTGTGCATTCATATTGCATGCTCAGAAAAAAATAYTGGCAATGTCGCTAAACCAGGCTGGATTTATAGCTTATGTCACTCTTGATTTTCCCAGGATTTAAAGTGCAGCCTTCATACAGCATGAACAAAAGCCCAGTATATGWGACTTAAAAAATAATTCTTTTTTTGAGAGGCAAATTATAACGCAGCGGGATGCAGAGGTCTGCTTGCCAGGTCTGGCTGTGATCGAGTGCCTTTCCGCGGGGCCTCGCTGCTCCAGGTATTTCCGTGCGCGCTTGGCGGGGAGCCTGTGGGCGCAGCGGCGGCTCCGCGTGTCCTTCCCTCCCGAGCTGTCCCGCGGGAGGGTTTTCCCTGCGCCCGGCTCCTCTCGTGGCCGAGGCCGAGGCCGAGCTCGGGCCGCGCTTGCAGCGCCGGCCGAAACGCGGTGCCGCGAGAGGGGGCCCTGGGAGCGCTGCGTGTGGCTGCGCCCGCGCGCGCCCGGCTGCGCGGCCTGCGGGAAAATGCCTTTCGCGGGGGAGGAAAACCTCCGAGTTTTGTTAAAACCCCGCGCGTTTCTGCCTGGTTTCCCTTTCTGGATGAGCGCAGCAAAGCCGTGATTCCCGACTGCGCCTTCAGCCCCTCGCTCCCCGGCCKTGCCGGGCGGAGGAAGACGCCGCGGCCGGGAGCCCCGTGGGAGCGCGGGCCGGGCCGGCCGGGCTCCTCGCTCCGAGCGCCGGCTCGGCGGGCTCGGGGCGCCGCGGC